AGACAACTACTACGGCAGACGACTTCGGACTCGGTGCGTTCTACATAGTCTCCCTGAACACAAGACCAAAATACACTTTTAGTTTCCAAATTTATTAATCCCCTCCACTCGACTTATAGGAAAAATTAAAGTTATTCCAACATCAATTTTTCTTACTAACCTAGCTTCTTTTAATATCTAACAAGCCTTTAAGAACCGGAGCATTTTAAGAAAAGTTATAGGAAATAGCTTGTAAGATTTCGTAAAATGAATGAAAAGTAGATCACCTCGATAAAGCTGTAAGCTAGCACCTCTTGGCTAATCAGATCTGCTGTTTGCCCGGCTGTTTGAGAGGGAAGCTGACCACCACAAGCAAAAACGACATCGCCTGCCTCGTAGCAGGCTAAACCTAGATTCGCCAAAGGCCGAGGTAGGCGAGACAGATACCTCCAACCAATGCTGGATGAACCGGATGTAGGTGAATGAGGAGACGATTTAGGCCTGGCTGCAACGGAGTTACCAGAGCTAGCCTTGAAAAACCCAGAAAGTGGCGACAGTTCATCCGTAGGAGCAATGGAGGAGGAAATGGGCCAAGAATCCAAACGGTTATCACAAGAGATGCTTAATGCTGGTGCATTAGACGAAGCAGCGGTGTTTGTGCAGGTAAATGCATGGTTTATGCAAGAAAGGCTTTCCGAAGTGGATATGGCGCAGGTACTAGAAAATGATGGATTGTGCATATGATCCGTCAATAATGATAGCGGGTCAAGGGCAATAACTCTATCAGTAAGCTGCATATCTCCTCCGTTGTCTTCGCGACCCCCAGCCAGCATAATCATATCTGCGAACAGATAGACAAAAAAACAGGAATTAGAAAGAGATAATAAGAAAAATATAAAATAAAAGTTGTTTGACCTTGTTTTTGCAACTTAGTCAAATTGGTAGGAAGACTTAAAGGAACGCACCTAGTTCGGAGTCCATTGTATGTATGATAATTTCCAGAGTCTAACCGTGGACATGGTACATTCCTAGACGTCTCGCTGGCATCCTGAGTCTTACTAGCCCTAGCACCACATTACAACTCGTCAGAGACATGTGAAGCCAATCCTTTGACCAATTGTCCAATTAAAAATAGTGTTATCTCTCAACTACAACATTGAACTCTGATAAAAACTAGGGGAGAAGGACCACGTAACAATATGGCAGACTTTGATCAACATTCCCAGCACAAGGGCGAATGACTGTGAGGGGGTGAAAAAGCCAGTGGAGTGTGGAAAGTTCTCGTGAAAGCCGTTCAAAATGGAACAACATACCACAATCAAATAAGCAAGTAAAAATTGTGATAGTGAAGGCGTGATACAAGGATATAGGATTGATGATTAGCCCAGGGTGAGGAAGAGATACCACGATTGCTTAGAAGACAATTGGTCAAAGGATCAACTTCACTTGTCTCTTTGACGAATTCTATTGTGGTGCTAAGAATGGCAAGACTCACTGAAGATGCCGGCGAAACGTCTGGGAATGTACCGCGTCCACAGTCCGAATTTGGAAATTATCATAC